ACAGTCAGCTCTCTCATAAAGCTTTCATACAGTCAGCTCTCTCATAAAGCTTTCATACAGTCAGCTCTCTCATAAAGCTTTCATACAGTCAGCTCTCTTATAAAGCTTTCATACAGTCAGCTCTCTCTAAAAGCTTTCATACAGTCAGCTCTCTCATAAAGCTTTCATACAGTCAGCTCTCTCATAAAGCTTTCATACAGTCAGCTCTATAAAGCTCCTCAGAATTGAGCTTTTTTGGTAAATGTGACTGACAGAGCTCAGCATTCATTGAACAGTAAGTATTTTACCGCAAGGACATTTTCAATCGCATTTACAAAAAAAAAAAAAAATCCACTATATAGAAGAGCTTAAAAACAGAGTTTACTGTACAGTATTTTCCTGAATCTGTAATCCCACACACAGTAAAACCGTCCAGTGTGACCTTATTGTATTTAAACGAAATAAAAACTTCTTGATGGTATGAAGGTCACTGGAGTGGAGGGAGAGTCAGTGGTCTCCACTCCACAAGAACAGATATTAATACCTGTAAATAAAACACCTGCAGCATGCCATCAATACGATAACACAACCTTTGCAAATATACAGCGTCTAAAACCATCAACAAATAAAATACCTTTCATCAATGGATTACTCACAGTGTCAAATGCAGTGTTTGTGGCTCTCACAGAGACCCACACAGAAGATCACTTTGACAGCAAAATATGGATACCAGGTTATAAGTTATTCAGATACAACAACAACAACAAAATACACAAATAGCGCACACATGGAGAAGCTTACGACGACGTAACTTTATAAATGGTTCAAGTCAGACCGAAATGTCATCGTAAGCTCCTCTTACGATGACAACAAGGGGGATGGGGTGGACTGGCCTGTATGCCACAGTCGCTTATTTTCTAGGAATTACTATAAACTCAAACCTTGTCATTGTGGTTATATACAACCCACCAGATACAACTTCCCATCAATTCAAGGAAAAGCTTTCGAAAATTGACTACTGTCGGGAAAAATGTTCCAGTCCCAGCCCCAGATAGCTTGTTGCTGGGTGATTTCAGCTTAAGGCACCTAAAATGGAGGAATGTTGCAAATGTCTTAGCAAAGATAACCCCAGGATGCAGCTCAGATGAAAAGCCACACCCACACACATGAGCTATTAACTGTAGTAAAAGGCTGGAGTTAGAATGACAAATTCCCACTCCCGCCAGTATACTCCACCAATATTCAAAAGTCTAAATTTGCCCACCATAAAGAACATCCGTACTTATTCATGTACCTACTACGTACACAAACATAAAACCTCCACTCAAACTACAACTCACCAACCTTAATAGGACACACGACCATAACACAAGACACACATCTCTCTTTGATGTACCCCGTGTCTATATCACACTGTGTAAAAACTCTGTGCACATAAAGGGCCCCAAAATTTGGAATTCATTACCAGAAAATACTAAAATAACCCGGTCTGAAAATCAATTTAAGACTCTTCTCAAAAGCCACTTCCTCACCCTAGATTAAATACTCAGTACTCAATATTTAACTTTACCAAAAAAATCTCCTAATTGCCTAAATTCAAGACTAGCTGCCCAAGTTCATACATTGACTAATACTACATAGTAGTATAAATTCCTGCCCAAAACAGTACTACCCTACAACCAATTGTATTCTCATACTGTATACTAGTTTCAGCAAATCACAATGTTATATTCCCATAATATAATTTCAGTATTTACCATTGAAACTATTTTACAACTTAAACTATGATAAATTTCTTTAGTATAAAGTAGTCAGTAAGCCATTAAGTCTGCCCATAATGCCTAGGCATGATAGTGGCTCTCTCTGCACTGCAGCTCATTATTGTAAATACATAATATCAATGTACTACTTGCAAAGAAATAAAATTGATTGAGCTGCACCAAATTCACCTTAAGCCAGCAAATAGTGGAGCCAACTAGACGGGAAAATACACTTGACCTTATCTTCACTAATAACGATGATCTGGTACGAAATACAACAGTATCAAAGACAATACACTCGGATCACAACATAATCGAGGTACAGACATGTATGCGCAGGGCTCCTAGCCAGCGACATGAGATTGTTTATAAGGGTGTCTTCACTAACTTCAACTTCACTAACAGAAATATACAGTGGGATCAAATTAAATGAAACATGCTGGGAAGATATCCTAAAGAACACGGATCCAGAGCTTTGACTAGAAAGAATTTCCTCCGTGGAATTTGAGGTATCCTCAAGACACATTCCCCCTGAGAAAAAAAACAAGATATAGACTAGAAAAAGACGCTCCTTCTATAGGCGAAGGTCAAGAATCACACAACTGTTGAAAGGGGGCCAATATATCTGAAATACAGGAGGCACTGGCAAGAAAAATAGAAAATATCGAACTTAAGTTTAAGGAGTCATATAGGAGCCAAGAAATACACGAAGAACTTAAAGCAATAAATTAAGTTAAAAAATGTGTATTTCTTTGCTTATGGCAAATCTAGGGCAAAAACCACATCCAATATCGAGCCCTTTCTTAAATGAGATAGAACTTACATAGATGAGATAAGATAAGATAAGATTTCGTTCGGATTTTTAACCCCGGAGGGTTAGCCACCCAGGATAACCCAAGAAAGTCAGTGCGTCATCGAGGACTGTCTGACTTATTTCCATTGTGGTCCTCAATCTTGTGTCCCAGGATGCGACCCACACCAGTCGACTAACACCCAGGTACCTATTTGCTGCTAGGTGAACAGGACAACAGGTGTAAGGAAACGTGTCGAAATGTTTCCACCCACCGGGAATCGAACCCGGGCCCTCCGTGTGTGAAGCGGGAGCTTTAGCCACCAGGCCACCGGGCAAAGAAAAGAGATACTGAAGTCTCAATATGACTCAGCGTTTAATGAGCCGTTAATCACACCAAGGGCCACAGTCTAAATTATTTTTGTTATGACCGAGATGCAAAATTTAGTTCAAGAATTTCTTATATAATCTTAACACCACAAGCCCAGACTCGTGGAACTCCGTACACATCAAGAACTGCAAGAAACTCCTATCACGTGCCTTCAAGCATTCTGTGGAGAGGGAACATGGTCACAGGCGTCATCCCACACTCACTTAAAACAACAGACTTAACCCCACTCCACAAAGGTGGCAGTAAACAAATTACAAAAAATTACAGAACGATAGCACTAACGTCCCACATAATAATTTTTGAAATGCTTCTATGAAGCAAGATCACCAATCACTGGGATACACAACAATTGCGCAACCGGGGAGCCTTGGTACAGAGCAGGTCGCTCCTGCCTCTCGCTACTACTGGACCACTATGACATGGTCTTAGATGCAATGGAGGACAAACAAAATGCAGATATAGTATACACAGACTTTACGAAATCCTTCGACAAGTACGACCATGGTGTAATAGCACACAAAATGTGTGATAAAAGAATAACAGGAAAAGTTGGTAGATGGATCTATAACTTCCTAACAAACAGATAGTAAACAGAGTAAGGTCAGAGAGGGCTACAGTGAAAAGCTCTGTCCCACAAGGCACAGTATTCATTCCCATCCGGTTCTTCATTCTCATGTTTCACATAGGCAGAGACTTAAGCCAGCACCGTGTCATTCTTTGCTGACGATAAAAGAATTTGCACGAGTGTCAGCAATTGAGGACACTGCAAATTTCCAAGCGGATATTAACCAGGTCTTTAATGGGGCCTCAGAAAACACTATGAAGTTCAGTGAAGACAAATTTCAATTACTCCGCTATGGAAAACTCGAGGAAATAGAAACTAGATCGGAGCATAAAACAAATTCCATCCATACAATAGAGAAAAACTACTGTGAAGAACCTGGGAGTGATAATGTCAGAGAATCTCACTTTCAAAGATCACAAAAATGTATCTACAACATCTGCTAGGAAAATGATAGGTTGGATATTGAGAACCTTCAAAACTAGGGACGCCAAGCCTATGACTCTTCAAATTGCTTGCCCCTCAAGGAAGGTTTCTTGATGTTGGTGAGGGGCTCTTGATTTAGGGAATTGGATCTGTGCTCCAGTTCTCCGAATTAAGCCTGAATGCCTTCCACATCCCCCCCCAGGCGCTGTATAATAATCCGGGTTTAGCGCTTCCCCCTTGATAATAATAATAATAAATTCAAATTGCTTGTTCTCTCAAGACTGTACACTAACTACCCCTTTCAAGGGAGGCGACATTGCAGTCCTGGAGAATATACAGGGAATAGCTGATGGTCCAACAAATTAGTGATTGGTACATGGGATTAGTTAATGGTCCAAGTGACTAGTTAATGGTCCAAGGGACTAGTTAATGATCTAAGGAATTGGTTGATGGTCCAAGGAATTAGTGGAAGGTGTACGAGACTAGCACCCAGGCACCTAATTACTGTTAGATGAACAGGGGCAGCAACATGTGTAAGAGACTAGCACCCAGGTACCTACTTGCTGCTAGGTGAACAGATGCAGCAGAAGGTATAAGGAGACTAGCACCCAGGTACCTACTTACTGCTAAATGAACAGGAGCAGCAATAGGTGTAAGAGACTAGCATCCAAGTACCTACTTACTGCTAAGTGAACAGGAGCAGCAACAGGTGTAAGAGACTAACATCCAGGTACCTACTTACTGCTAGGTAATCAGGAGCAGCAGCAGGTGTAAGAGACTGGCACCCAGGTACCTTCTTACTGCTATGTAATCAGGAGCAGCAGCAGGTGTAAGAGACTGGCACTCAGGTACCTACTTACTGCTAGGTGAAGAAGGGCAGCAACAGTTATAAAGAAACATGCCCGTCGCATCCTGGGGGAGGGTGTTAATATACCTTAGATAGGACTGGTTTTTTAATAAGTTTAGGTTTAATAACAGCTCTTGGCCCGCAAAACTCATTTGTGTAAAAAAAATTCCCACCATGCCAGGGATTTAACCCGGGTAAGCCGGTACGGGACGAGAGCGCTAACAACTGAGCCACCAACCACATACCTGCAGATGTCCTGGCTAAAGGAGAAGGTAGAGGCGCTGGAAGCGCATCTCTCCATGGGTGGAGCTGGAACCAGGCTTACATCGTACAGCTCCTGCGTGAGAAAACACACGTTAGTTACCGTATCGTTAGATCTACGGGGAACGGTAAACCTGTAGGGGTTTAACTAATGGTTTTAAAAGTCGACAAGTAGGTGACCACCTCATCTCCAGGCTGAGGGACTGACCCCCCTCATCTCCAGGCTGAGGGACTGGCCCCCCTCATCTTCAGGCTGAGGGACTGACCCCCCTCATCTCCAGACTGAGGGACTGACCCCCTCATCTTCAGGCTGAGGGACTGACCCCCTCATCTCCAGGCTGAGGGACTGACCCCCCTCATCTCCAGGCTGAGGGACTGACCCCCCTCATTTCCAGCTGAGGGACTGACCCCCCTCATCTCCAGGCTGAGGGACTGACCCCCCTCATCTCCAGGCTGAGGGACTGACCCCCCTCATCTCCAGGCTGAGGGACTGACCCCCCTCATCTTCAGGCTGAGGGACTGACCCCCCTCATCTTCAGGCTGAGGGACTGACCCCCTCATCTTCAGGCTGAGGGACTGACCCCCCTCATCTCCAGACTGAGGGACTGACCCCCTCATCTCCAGACTGAGGGACTGACCCCCCTCATCTCCAGGCTGAGGGACTGACCCCCCTCATCTTCAGGCTGAGGGACTGACCCCCCTCATCTCCAGGCTGAGGGACTGACCCCCCTCATCTCCAGGCTGAGGGACTGACCCCCCTCATCTTCAGGCTGAGGGACTGACCCCCCTCTCTCAGGACTGAGGGACTGACCCCCCTCATCTTCAGACTGAGGGACTGACCCCCCTCATCTCCAGGCTGAGGGACTGACCCCCCTCATCTCCAGGCTGAGGGACTGACCCCCTCATCTCCAGGCTGAGGGACTGACCCCCCTCATCTTCAGGCTGAGGGACTGACCCCCCTCATCTTCAGGCTGAGGGACTGACCCCCTCATCTCCAGACTGAGGGACTGACCCCCTCATCTCAGCTGAGGGACTGACCCCCCTCATTCTTCAACTGAGGGACTGACCCCCCTCATCTCCAGGCTGAGGACTGACCCCCCTCATCTCCAGATGGAGGGACTGACCCCCCTCATCTCCAGGCTGAGGGACTGACCCCCCTCATCTCCGGCTGAGGACTGACCCCCTCATCCAGGCTGAGGGGCTGACCACCTCATTTCCCGGCTGAGGGACTGACCCCCTCTCTTTCAGGCTGAGGGACTGACCCCTCATCTTCAGGCTGAGGGACTGACCCCCTCATCTCAGGCTGAAGACTGACCCCCTCATTCTTCAGGCTGAGGGACTGACCCCCCCATCTCCAGGGTGAGGGACTGACCCCCCCAATCTCCAGGCTGAGGACTGACCCCCCTCATCTCCAGCGAGGGACTGACCCCCCTCATCTCCCGTGAGGGCTGACCCCCCCATCTCCAGGCTGAGGGACTGACCCCCTCATCTCCCGACTGAGGGCTGACCCCCCCCCATCTCCCGGCTGAGGGACTGACCCCCCTCATCTCCAGGCTGAAGGGACTGACCCCCCTCATCTCCAGGGGAGGGACTGACCCCCTCACTCCCCGGCTGAGGGACTGACCCCCTCATCTCCAGGCTGAGGACTAACCCCCCCTCATCTCCAGACTGAGGACTGACCCCTCTCTCCAGCGAGGGACTACCCCCCCTCATCTCCAGGTGAGGGACTGACCCCCTCATCCCAGGGTAGGGGCGACCCCCCCCATCTCCAGGCTGAGGGGTGCCCCCTCATCTCCAGGGAGGGACTGACCCCCCCATCTCCAGGCGAAGGGGCTGACCCCCTCATTCCCCCGCTGAGGGCGACCCCCCCCTTTCCAGGTGAGGGACGGCCCCCCTCATTCCAAATGGGGCTGACCCCCCTCA